AATGATCTGACCAGATGGCTGGTGCTCTATAATTCTTGGATTGCTCTCATCAGTTGTTGATGATTTGGATTTTTTTTCTTTTTCTTTTTTTTCCCCCTCATATGAACGTGTTCCTGCACAGGCTTCCTGCGTGCTCACATTGAGTGGGCTTTTTGTGCTAATGCCAATATTTCAGAGACTCTCACAGCCGCCTGGAGTCAGATCAGGTCAATAAGGAGGCCCAGGTCTGCTCCTGGCTGGCTATGCTTCTCTGAGCCCACATGGGACCAACATGCAGCACTGGGTAATGAGCAGAACAAGGGGGCCTCTGCCAGGGCTGCCTCCTTACCTCCACTTCCCCTTCATGTCCCCAAGGAAAGGGAGGTAGCAAAGGTGTATATACATAGATATGTATTTTTAAAAAGACTATGTTGCCAAGGCTGGATGCAGTGGCTATTCACGGATACCAAGGTACCAATGATGCAAACTCCTGGGCTCAAGCAATCCTCCCACCTCAGCCTCCTGAGTAGCTGGGACTACAGTCGTATGCCACCATGCCCAGAACAAAGGAATATATTTTTAAATGACAACTATAGCCACTTACTGAATATGGCCTATGTGCCAGGTCCTGTGTTGAACATTTTACATATATTAACCTTGTTTCATTCTCACATCATCTCTGTGAAGTAGGTATTATATTTTCATCCCTATCTTCAGATGAGGAAACTAAGGTTCTGAGATTCTAAGCAACCTGAGCAAGGTCACACAGCTCAAAAAGAGAGCTGCAGGTGGAGTTGGAGATTCAGCATCATTAAATTTGATGAAGTGCCCCACACAGAACACAGGGTTAAAGAGAGAAGGCTCTGGCCTTGCCATACCATCCTTTATGCCCTCACTGAGCACAAAACACTTCCACCAGGACATCCAAAATACTTTGGTGGCTGTTCTTGTCTTTGTTCTCTGTATCCTTTGTGAGATTATGAGCTAGAGAGAGGGCAGGGGTCATGTCCCTTTTGCTACACAAGAAGATAGTATGGCACAGCGGTTAGGAGCTGGGGCTTTCAGCCAGACAAATCTAGGTTTGAGTCCCAACTCCACCACTTTTTGGTTGTTTGGCTAAGTCATTCCTTCTGAGACTCAGTTGTATCTGTAAAAATGAGGATAGTTATAGCACCTGCCCTCAAAGGATGCCTGGCAGAGTCAGTGCTCAGTAAATGTGAGCTATTACCTATATCTCTGGCTATAGATGATGCCCGGCATAAAGTAGGATCTCAGAAGATGCCCAGGGTGCAGGAGCCCACTGAAGTGTCTGTGACTGGCATTCTGTAATACCAACTGCACAGGTACAAAGTCCTAGTGTTCAGGGGTCCTCAGCCCCAGGACAAATTCCTGAGTTCCCTGCCCAGAACCCACAGGACCTGCCAGCAAACAGCTTTCCTCTGCTTGCTTGTGAACAGCTGATGCTGTATCCACACTCAAATGCTTGCTGTGCCTCCGTAAGGTGAGGTAGATCCCAAAATAAACCAGAAGAAAGAGACAGGAAAATCACTTCTAGGAACAAGCAGCTCCCAGTGAGGATGCTGACAGTAATAACAGGGGCAGACAGACTTCAGGAGATTCACCTGCAGCTGTTCCAGGACTGACTGGCTGGGGCCCAATTCCTACCTGGACTGCCGGGAAGGCCCACGAAGTCATGAGTTTGTCGCCTGGTGTTCCAGGCAACAGGCAGTCTGGAAATTTGCCTTCAAATGAGCACAGCCAAAACACTCCACGAACTCTAGTTCCCCTCTTGGGAGCCTGAGGATAACAGAGCTGTGGTCCTCCCTGAAGAGTCCTGAGGGGACAGAAGGTACTGAACTGGGGACAATAAGGACAATAACTGTCCATATAAACTTGCCATTTTCTTAAAGTCCACCATCTTCCTGTGCCATGCCACTGACTCTTAGACAGGAAACACTCTGCAAACCCCTTTTGCTTGTGCTTACCCTTGCTCCTTCATCAAAGCCTCTGTTGACGGAGGGAGGACATTTCATGAACATGCAAGTCTCTTCTTCACATCATAAGTTCCCTTCCCCATGTCAAGTCACAGGGACAGAAGCCTACATGCTCATGTACCCTCACCGGCATCCAGTGATTCCACAATGGGATTGAAGGGATGGCCAAGTGGAGAATTTACCACTGAAAATCGGAACAGATGTGTACAGAGTGATTTCTCCATGTTAGGAAGTAGGCAGAGGGCTTTGCATCTACCAGGTCACTCCATACAACAGCCTCTGCAGCAGGCAGGGCAGGACACTTCCCCCATGCCACCAATGGGAAAAATCAAAGAACAGAAAGATTCTGTGACTTGCCCAAGATCGCCTAAGTAGCAAAGCTAGGATTTGAACCCCAAACTGGCTGAATCTAGTCCGTCCTCTTCACCACTAAATTATACCACCTCCCCATTTACCTACCCATCCAGTTCCCAGGACTGGCTACATTCCTTTTAACCTTTAGGTAGATGTGTTGGGAAGCTCCCAGGCAGAATTCAGAATGTGGTAAATTAAGTATCATAATCTGGCTGAAGGCAAGTGCCAGCTATCCACACAGACCCCTGAAAGGTCAGTTTCCTAACAGTATACATAGAAAACATGTCCATGCTTTATTGGGGCCTCCACTGGTCTGACGCCATGACACCAGATTCTGAATCACTCCACATCAGATACTGAGGCCAAAACAAGCCTCCCACCTAACCTCCCCTCACCAGTCCTGCTTTTGAGATGCAGTGTGGGCAAAAAATGCTCCTGGGATGGGGCAGGCATGACTGGAATCAGAGTTGCTTTGCCCTCTGAGTTACAGGGCCTCTGTGTTTGGGTGCAACTGCAACACACCCGACCTCTGCCTGCCACCACCCACACCTCCCCAACCTGGCTTCACTTGAGAACTGAGTCCCACTGGTCCTTAAGGACTAAAACCAGAGGCTCTCAGGGATAGGGCGTGGAAGATACAGACTATACATATCTTCCACCTCTTTCTTCTCTTTCTTTCCCTTTCTTCTTTCAGACAACTCCAAAGGAATTTTGTGCAGAAGAGTTTAACAGGGACTCTTGAGAAACTCCAAGGCAGAGGGTGATGTCAATGAAACATCAAGTTAACTATAAAAATCAGTGCTCTACTCCAATTCTCTGGGAGTCTCTCAGAGTCCACAGCTCACTCTTGTCACACAAGCTCTGGCTATCCCTCCCCAAGGACACAGAGAGGGGCTCTTTTTAGCCATTAATAGCAGCCCCACTGCCCAGAGGGTTGGGCAAGGGGCCAGGGTCAGAACCATCAACATTGCTCAGTCTGCAACATGAACCAGGATGCTACTGGTTGAAGGGAGCTACTAACTCAACCACAGAAACAGATAGGGTAGGAGTCAAGGCCACAGGACACTGACTTCCATCTGCTCCAGGAACTTGCATGGTTAAAAGTGGTACAAGAAGGCCAGGTGCGGTGGCTCACGTCTGTAATCCTAGGACTTTGGCAGGCTGAGGCAAGTGGATTGCTCAAGCTCAGGAGTTCAAGACTAGCCTGGGCAACATGGCAAAACCCAGTCTCTACAAAAAAATACAAAAACTAGCTGGGTGTGGTGGCTTGAGCCTATAGTCCCAGCTACTCTGGAGGCTGAGGTGGGAGGATCACTTGAGCCCAGGAGGCAGAGGTTGCAGTGAGCCGAGAATCGCAACATGGCACTCCAGCCTGGGTGACAGAGCAAGACCCTGTCTCAAAAAAAATAAAAGTGGTAAAAGCAACACTATATATATAAAATCGTGGATATAGTCCATATCTTCCACGCCCTATCCCTGAGAGCCTCTGGTTTTAGTCCTTAAAGACCAGTGGGGCTCAGTTCTCAAGTGAAGTCAGGTTGGGGAGGGGTGGGTGGTGGCAGGCAGAGGTTGGATCTGCTGAACCCAATACCTCGATTCCTAAAAGTTCCCTCTGCTCAATGCCATTAGCTCCCACCTGGCTTCCTTGGTGCTTCATCACTCTTCTGTGGCAGCAACTACCCATGTGCAAACACAGCAGGAGCAATATTGCTACCAGAAAGCTGGCTGGCACAGCAAATGCTGGCCTGCCAGCACAGCAGCAGTGGGGGCAGTGAGGACATGGTGATGAATATCGGCAAGAAGCTGATGAAACTACACTGTGGCAGCTGCCAGGGCTTGCCATCCACCTTGCCACTCCTGAGAACAGTCCCAAGTGTCAGTGTAGTAGGCTCCAGCCAAGGACAGCCAGGACTGGGAAGAAGTGGGAAGAGAGTGGGCCCAGGCTCTGGGGTCAATGGCATAGGGCAAGTTAGCTAGAAGACATAGGACAAGTTACCTAACCTCACTGAGCCTCAATGCTTTCATCTGAACATAAAGGTAATAATAGTTCCTATTATTGTGAAAATTGAACAAGATTACCCATATGAAGCACCTAGTACAGTACCTGAATATGGTGAAGACTCTGCAATTGTTGACTATTCTCATTATTTTAAGCCCTGGGCCCAGGCTCACAAAAGGGTTAGAATATTGTTCCTTCTGAGGATGCACTATTTAAAAACCAGGCCAGGACCAGCCCGTTTCTCGGCACAGGTTCCTTTAACAACAGAACACACCTGCCCCACACTGGCGCTCAGGACTCTCCCATGAACAATATTTCAGCAGCACTGAGCCAAGCAGCAGAGCCCAAAATAGCATTTGCAGAGCGAGGCACATGTCAGTGCCTCTCCGGTGCTTCAGAAGTGCAGGGAAAGAAAGTTTTCAATCACTTGCTCAGAAACCACAGCCACCCACCACCTGCCTTCCTTCCACGGCACTAAGACGCTGCAATCTCTGTTCTACTGGAAAATGAAGGTCCCTGAGCCCTGCAGCAGCAGATACCACTCTGACGGACCATGCTCTTTCCCTCCCGCAGGCCAGAGAGGAGCAGCCTGAAGGAGCAGCCCTGTGGGGACAAAGGACGTACACAGTTTGAATTCAGAGTGTGTTTTGTGGGGACAGGGCTGGGCCTGATACCTGGACGAAGGGCCTGCCACTCATGCGTCGGGTAGAACACCTCCAGGACTTCCGCGTCCAGCTCCTCCTCTGCTTTGGTTTCTTTTCTCTCTGTTTCTTTGGTGCTGCTCTTCTCTGGGTTGGTCAGGGCAAACTCCTTCTGAGAAAAGAAAACACAGGGAATGACCCACCGCAACTAGGCGCCCAGGTAAGCAGAAAAAAAAATGGCCTAGGGTGGCACGTTCTTTTCCTCCACGCCCCTCTACCCCACAGCCACACATGTCTGGACACTCACAGTTCCTTTCACAAGGTCAGCCTCAGAACCAGCACATGTGAGGTGATACGGCTAAATGAATGCAGCATGCTGTCCTGTGTGTATGTGGTACTTTTGAAAACACATAGGGAATGACTCTAGAAGATTCCATGGTATCTTGAACGTGTTAAGGGAACACATTAGGGACAGGGGCTGGCAAAAGGAAACAATAAAAGCCTTTTACTTTTTGACATGCTATTATACTGTTTGATGTTTAAAACTCGTACGTATTATTTTTACAATAAAAATACACATATTTAGAAAAGAAAAAAACACATACATGAATGGGAGAGTAAGGCCTCAAATGGCCACTACAGATGCACAAAAGCTGGCAGCTAAGGCCCAGCTGATTCCCAAGCATCCCAGCAGGGCACAATTCCCCAGTGTGCCTATGAGCCATTGCAAACCATAGAGGAAGGGTGCAAGTGGGAAGGTGAGAATCCAGCTGGGCTGAGGGAGGAAGACGCTCAGGTTGGAAACCACTTCCTAAAACCTGTTTCCTTCCACCCTGTGCAGAACATAGAGGATTAATGAGATGGTGTCTCTGGAGCATTCTCAGCTGAGGAGACAGCGATGAAAGATAAATACAAAGTATTATTCATTTTGCTCTTTCCTGGACTCTCATCCTTCCTATCCCATTTTTAAACCTGTTCTTGCAAAAAAAGTAATAAGGCCTCAGGAAATTCGAACCAGAGGGCTCCAGAGCTCTGGGAAATTACATTTGGGAAAACAAGGAGGAACCCACATTAGCACATGGGGAGGTATTTCAGCCTGCCCACCTCCCCTGTCATCACTTTTTCTCTGCTTGCCAATCTCTCCCTTAGTAACAAAAAGTATATTTCTTGGAATCTTCCTGTGAGCCCAAACCCGTGCTGGGTACTTTACATAGATCTCGTTTTGGTCTCCCAACAATGCTAACCACACCTGCGAGATGTTATATGCATACATCTGGAAAGTTATTTAACTTTCAAATAACACCTCGTTCTCCGCCGGGTGCGGAGGCTCATGCCTGTAATCCCAGCACTTTGAGAGGCCAAGGTGGGTGGACTGTTTGAACCCAAGAGTTCAAGACCAGCCTGGGCAACACGTCAAAACCCCATCTCTACAAAAAACACAAAAAAATTAGCCAGGCGTGGTGGTGCACACCTATAGTCCCAGAGACTTGGGCGGCTGAGCCAAGAGGATCGTTAGAGCCCAGGAAGCAGAGGCTGCAGTGACCTGAGATGGCACCACCACACTTCAGCCTGGGTGACAGAGCAAGACCCTGTCTCCAAAAAAAAAAAAAGTGCCTTACTCCAGATAAGGACTCCCTCCTGCCTGGGTCCCTCAATGTCTGATCTTTAGTTGCCAGAGGAAAGGTTAAAATGTTAAGGTGCTGGTGATGACAATGTAGAGCCCCTCCAAGAATTTTTACTGTTTAACAAGAAATAAAGGCATGAAATTTAGATGACAGAATTTCAGGCCTTACTAAGACCAGTAAGGAAATATCTTGGCAAGAAGAAGCTCTCAAATCTAACCACACCTGGGAGATGTTATATGCATAGTTATGAGAGGCACTGACTCCAGCATAGTGGTTAAGATGCTGGAATAATTCAAATCCCAGTTTCTTGTGACTCAGGAAAAGTTTTTTAACTTTCTAAGTTTCAGTTTCCATATCTTCAACATGAAAATAATAACAACATCTAGCTCATAGTTAGATGAGGTACTACATTGTAAACCACTGGCCTTGGGTATGTGGTGGCTGTTACTGTTATTACTTATAAAGGCAGTCATAGATTCCAGGCTGTGTTGTGACATCCAGGAGTGACTATACAATATGGCATCATTCAAGCATGTCACCTGCGTAGCCTGGTGCCTCAAACCCCTCCTATCCCTTCAACTTAAAAGTTTGCCCAAATCTGAGCTCAAAAGGAAACTAGGAATAGAAGAATAGGTGTGCTTATGAGACTACAGAGAAGACACACTGGCAAGAGGCACCCTCCATTCTGAGGACATGGACATCAAGGACTTCCAACAAGCTGAGTTTCTAGAGGGCAAGCACCATGTCAGTCTCCTTCATCACCCCCATGCCTAGCACAGCGCTTAGTTTGAAACTGCTGAACAAACAGATGAATGAATGCCCCTTCCCATAGGCAGGTGTGTCTTCTGGGTGCCTTAGACTGAGGAAAGCCCAAAGCATGTGAGTCTGCTGCAGGTGCTCACCTCATATTCCACAACAAAGACCACCCTGTCTGCTAAGTACCCAGAGCCTATATACACTAGGATCAGCCCTGGTCAGAAGCATTAGACTGTGGGACGAGGAGAAAGTCAGTAAAATTTACCTTGGAGGTGTGTCAATGAAATGTCCCAGGGGCCAGGCAGGGATGCAGGTATATCTGTGGACCAGGTGTAAACAACAGGGAGTGGTGGGACTGTAGAAACTGGAGTCCTCCTGCCTTGACTCGGGGAAGCAGCTGCTACTCAGCTGGTCTACCACTGTCACGCAGGCATTCGACTTGAAAACAGAAATCCAGATTTTTATGTGAAATGTTCTTATTTTTAGAACACTAAGAGGGCCAAACTAAAATATCTAAGCATCAATTTGCAACCTTTTTTTAAAAAAATTTTTTAGTAGAGACAAGGGCTCCCTATGTTTCCTAGGCTGGTCTTGAACTCCTAGACTTAAGCAATCCTCCCTCCTCTGCCTCCCAAAGTGCTGGGATTAAAGGCATGAGCCACCATGCCCAGCCTCAATCCTTGTTTACCTATTAGCCGGGTAATTCCTGGCAGGCTGTAGGCAAGCAGCCAAATTCTCATCAAGAGAAGCAGAGAGTGGCAAGGAAGATGGTGATAAGAAGGTAACACAGGAAGCCCTTCAAAATCGAGGTAGGCTGATGTTCATTTAACTGCTAAGGGTTGGGAAAGCCTCTTTTTCTAGATTTCATTAACAAGATTAACAGAGTGGATTCGAGAAGGAGGGAGAGAATGAGACTGATGAACCGCTGAGCTACATGCTTCAAGTCCTAAGGAGGCCAGACTCCTTTGCAACAATCCTGTCACTGTTCAAAATGTTTTTTGCACCTCCTCTAGGTATCATCTTTGAACCAGATTTTAAGACGCAAACACAAAATCTGTACATTTAAAAGTACATTTTAAAGTACACCTCGATTTTTAGTGGGGATTGACACAAAATTGGTTCTCCCCTATCTGTGCTCACCCTGTTCACCAGACCTGGCTATGAGAGTCTTTAGATGCTTTGCCCAAATCACACCTAACTATCCTCAAAGGCCAAGGGCTCAGAAGCATCGAGAGAGGTTCAGTGATATGAACACACCACAGGCTGGACAGTGAGTTCAAAAGCAGAGTTTCAGAAAACGTTTTGAGAAAAAGCAGCATCAAGAGGATGAGGTTGTAACGATAACAGCAGCTACCGTTTATTAAGCCCTGATCATATGTCAGGCACCGGGGCAAGATGCCTTCCATGCCTCAATTCATCCAAGTCTCATCTGTGAAGCACATCATATTAGTCCCATAGGAGGACAGATATGGGGCTTTTCAAAATCACACTGCTCAGAAAAGCACAGCAGAGATTGAAGTCCAGACCTGCCTGGCTCCAAAGCCCATACATAAGTTTTGACTCACTTCTATGATTCTTTTTTGGTCAGATGTCCTAATAAGTTGTGCCCTGAGAGCTGAGGGAATGATGCTGGGACATTAAGATCACTTTAGCATATCTACCAGCACATGCCCTTCCTTGGCAAAGACTTCCATGGGCCAGGTAAGAAACCACAGTCCCAGAGTAAGAACAAGCACAACTAGCCTCAATCTGCCTAGGCAGTGTCCTGAACAGGAGAGAGGGAGGCAGGCCAGCCCTTGGTCGGCCATGAAGTAAACCCCGTGCTCTGGTGCCTTCCCAGCTGGCTCCTCAGGGCTCCCTTCCATGCTGGATCATCAGCGCTCTCTTCTCCCTATCACCATCATTCCAAATACCAATTTCCTCTCAAGTGACTGGCAAGAAATCCTAGCTAAGGTGTTAGCTGACAACAGCTTACCATGTCACACTTCCTTGCGCTTGTATCTGAATAAGAGATTCTTAAAAACCAAAGCCTTCAAGATCCAAGAGAATGAATGAATCTCTAATGGTGGGTTGACAGACACTGTAACAGAGACAGACTGCCAGGGCAACATTTTGGGACAGAAGCCTGCCTGACACAGCCCAAATTAAACCATAGAAGCAGCACCCCCATACTAAAAAAACAACAGCTGACATTCATTAACCATTTATTGGCCATATTGTGCCAGTTTCAATGCCAGGTGCTTTATATATAATCACATTTAATCTACACTAAAACCTTAAGAGGAAGGTACCAACCCTGTTTTACAGATTAGGAAACAAAGCTCAGAAAGAGTCAAATTGCCAAAGTGTGAGGCAAAAGGGATCTTACGAAGGGCCTGTGCTTCCTCCACAAGGCTCCACTACTGTACCTGCCTCATTGTTCACCACCTTTTCAAAGGCCAGTAACACACAACCACAGCCCTTCAGCATCTACATGCCTCCTAAGATGTGGCATCCCAGAGAAGTACTGCAGCAGGAGCCAGGAAGGAAAGCTGGCTCCAGATCATACTGTGATACACACAGCCAGCCTTTCCTGGGTGGGCATGAACCTGCCCCACTGCCTTTGAGGAGGACAATTCCAGGTCATCAGGAGCACTTACCTGGACTCCGGGCTCTGAAGAAAGGATCATAACCACCTCCACCCCATTTTCACTGTTCTGAAGGTGGCTGGCTGCATAATTTAGATTTTAAATGACATCAGGGCAACAATTTTTATGGTATGAGAGAAAAGATGCTTCAACTCCTACTTGTGCTTAGCACATGATAAAAGATTATGACAAATGTATACAGCTTAGGAACAGACATAAGGATAAAAGCAGCTTCTGTTGATGAAAGTCAGTATTAACATTTTTCTGAGACTAGACTCAATAGAGCTAATATAAATGGGCCAGAATAATTATGCTCTGAAAGCTCATCTATTTGGTTGGACTATTATCCAAAAGGGACTTCCTAACTCAGTCCTTAAGTAAATTCATCAGCATGCCTTTGTTAATTGTGCATCTGCCAAAGCTCACGATGGGGAGCACGGCATTCTCATGAGCTACAAGTTGGGGAGGGGACAAAGCCCTGGTCCCTCAAGGCTCTTTTCTGGGCCATTCCACCGCCAATCTATGCCAGAGACAGCCCCAACCTCATGCTGTAGCCAGTCCCATTCTCAGGGGCCCCTGGAATCCCATTCTCACTGTCCTTGAAGAAGAGGCAAATAAACAGCACCAACAGGATCTCAGAGGGCATTAAAAACTCAAAAGGACTTGTGACTCCCAACTGTATGTTTTCTCCTGCTCCACAAAGTGGGGGGAAAGGCAGAGAGGAAACAAATGATTTCAGAGAGAAGGTGGAAGCTTGCCATGAGCCAGAGGTGAACCACAGCTAAGCTGGATTGTTATTAAATTCATCACAATTGTCATTTGCACTTCAAGGACCTCCCGCTCCAGAGCTTCCAGCGCTTTATCCAACATTTAGTGGGAGCCCTGGGGTTGGGGAAGGTGGCCAGGGGAGGGTGAAACTGTCAAATAACTGACAGTGGGAGCTTATCAAGGGAGAAGAGAGGGAGGGCATTAGGAGCTGGTCAAGGGCAGGCCGTTGCTGGGACAAGCCAAGTAAACAGGGCCAGGAACCGTATTGTGCTGCAGCCAGGTCACGCTCAGGGCCTTTTCGGGCATTCTCCTCCTGCCAGTGGCAATGGCAGAAGCCTGGAGCAGTGAGCTCTAGGTTAATGAAGTGTGGCCCGGAAAGAACAGGGAGCTATAGACAAAAGGAAGGAGGATACAGAGATGGAGATGAACTGAGAAAGTACAAGGGAGAGAGGAGGAGAGGAAGAAAAAGAGTCTTACTTGGAACTGATGCCCACCACACAGGCACTCAGCTTTTGGGAAGAATCCTGACATTCACAGCTCTCACAAGCTGGCTGTGTGATTTCGGCCAAGTTACCTAATGTCTCTGAGTCTTAGTCTTTTCCTCAAAAGGAGGATAAAAACTGCAGCTGCCTAATTCATAGTGTTGTTGGGAGGATTAAATGAAAATATATATAAAGCACTCACTACAGGGTTTGGTACATGGAAGATTATAATTATTAATTTATCATCATCATCATCTTTTCCCCAAAGGGAAACTGTGCCATAAGCTTTAAACAGAAGCCAGAAGACACAGGGATGGGGAGGAAGAAGTCTACCTACTCCATGATCCACTGCCAGCCACACTCACATAAGAAAGAAACATAAAAGCCCACCCTACTCCCACAGCAGCCCTGGTGACAGGGAGGCCTTCTCAAGACCTCATCGAGGATCCCTCCCACTTGCAATAAAGACATTTACCGGGTTCTGATGACTGAGGCAGAAGGTGAAGCAGGCAGCCATCAGCAGCCCAAGCAGTATGGCCGGAGGAGCCATCCTAGATGAAGGCAGGCTCTGCAGAGCCATAGTCAGGGACCTGCAGGTGCAAGCACAGAAAACAGAAGGTCAATGAAAAGCTAGTGCTTGATTCCCCCGCACTGTGATTCCCGTGTCATCACTTGCTCACATGTCAGACATTTCCTGCATAGAGGTATAATGAGTCTTCTACCACTTCTAGATAATTCTGAAACCTCTATCTCCCATGGTGGATCCAGCCATCCAATAAGAGATATGCCCTGGCTAGAACCATACAGTCAATCAGGACTCTTGCATGAGCTATCACAGCCCTGGTCCCTTCCTTCTTCATTAGAACTTGTTATCAGGTTGTGGCGGGTGGTCTTGACTATGATAAGGAGAGAGGGAAACTAACCAACTGATCTGTGTGTGAATTAACATGGGTGCAAATCCACATTAGCGTTTGTAACCACCCACTTCTAAAACACACCCATTATCCTACCTGAAGACAGATGGCATCAATATCCTCTAAGACAGCAAAGTTCAATATTTCCAAGTCACAAAACCTCTCACACCACCTTTCAAACAGTCAAACAAATCAAAGTACAAGCCCCAGTAGCTATTAAAAAGGACAGGCAAAGGTGGGAGGATCCCTTGAGGCCAGCAGTTCAAGACCAGCCTGCACAACACAGTGAGACCCTGTCTCCACAAAAAAAAAAAAAAAAGAATTAGCTAGGCACAGTGGTGTGAGCCTGTAGCCCCAGCTACATGGGAGGCTGAGGCAGGAAGACCACTTGAGCCCCAGAGGTTGAGGCTGTAGTGACCCATGACTATACCACTGCACTCCAGCCTGGGTGACAGAGTGAGACCCCAATCCTCCAAAAAAAAATTAAAAGAATATAAGGATGGAAGGACATCCCATGTTCATGAATTAGAGACTTCATACTATTAATAACAATACTACCCAAAGCAACATACAGATTCAGAGCAATCTCTGTTAAAATCCCAATGGAGAAACTCATCCTAAAACTCATATGAAATTTCAGGGGACCCAGAATAGCCAAAACAATCTCAAAAATGAAGAAAGAGCTGGGTTTAGTGGCTCACACCTATAATCCCAGCACTTTAGGAGGCCAGTGGGTGGAATGCCTGAGCTCAAGAGTTCAAGACCAGCCTGGGCAACATGGCAAAACCCCATCTCTACCAAAAATACAAAATATTTCTGGGTGTGCTGGTACACGCCTGTAGTCCCAGCTACCCAGGAGGCTGAGGTGGGAGGATCGCTTGAGCCTGGGAGGCGAAGGTTGCAGTGAGCTGAGATTACGCCACTGCACTACAACCTGGACGACAGAGTGAGTACCCATCTAAGAAAGTAAAAGAAGTTAGAGGACTCACTCTTCCTGATTTCAAAACTTACTACAAAGCTACTGTAATCAAAGGGTGATACTGGCATAAGGATGGACAGACCAATGGAATAAAATTGAGAGTCCAGAAATAATCTCATATATGGTCAATTTTTGACAATGGTGCCAAGACCATTCAATGGAGAAAGGACAGTTTAACAAACAGTACTGGGACAACTGGATATCCACATGTATAAGAGTGAAGTTGGGGCCCGGCACGGTGGCTCACGCCTATAATCCCAGCACTTTGAGAGGCCGAGGCAGGCGGATCACGAGGTCAGGAAATCGAGAACATCCTGGCTAACACAGTGAAACCCCATCTCTACTAAAAACACAAAAAATTAGCTGGGCATGGTGGCAGGCGCCTGTAGTCCCAGCTACTCAGGAGGCTAAGGCCGGAGAATGGCATGAACCCGGGAGGCGGAACTTGCAGTGAGCCAAGATTGTGCCACTGCACTCCAGCCTGGGCAACAGAGAGAGACTCCATCTCAAAAAAATAAAAAAATTTTTAAAAAAAAGAGTCAAGTTGGACCCTTACCTTATATCATTTATAAAAACTAACTAGAAATGAATCAAAGACTTACATTTAAGAGCTAAAAGCATAAAACTTAGACGGAAACATAGATGTAATCTTAACAACCTTGGATTTGGCAATAGTTTCTTAAATATAACACCAAAAGCATAGGCAACAAAAGAAAAACAGATAAACTGGACTTCATCAAAATTAAAAAGTTTTTGGGTCTCAAAGGATACTATCAAAATAGTGAAAAGACAGAATGGGAGAAAATATTTATAAATCCCATGTCTGTTATGGGTATATTGTCCAGAACGTGTTGAGAATTCCTAAATCTCAACAATAAAAAGACAAGCATCCCAATTTAAAAATGGGCAAAGGCAGGAGTTCAAGAACAGCCTGAGCAATATAGCTAGCCATCTTCTCTAAAAAAAAAAAAAAAAACTAAAAATTTAAAAAATTAGCCAGGTGTGGTGGTGTGCACCTGTAGTCCCAGCTACTTAGGAGGCTCAGGTGAGATCTCTTGAGCCCAGGAATTTGAGGCCTCAGTGAGCTATGATAATGTCACTGTGCTCCAGTCTGGGCAACAGAGTGAGATTCTGTCACTAAAAAAAAAAATTTTTAATGAAAATGGGCAAAGGACTTGAATAAACATTTCTCCAAAGAAGATATACAAATGGCCAATAGAGACATGAAAAGGTTCTCAACATCATTAACCATGAGGGAAATGCAAATCAAAACCACAATGATACACCACTTCACACCCACAATGATGGCTGTAATGTTTTTTAAGTAAAATAACAAGTGTTGGTGAAGACGTGGATTAACTGGAACCCTCGTACATTGCTGGTGTAGATATAAAACAGTGCAGCCACTTGGGAATAGTTTGGTGGCTCCTCAGAAAGCTAAATATAGAATTACCATATGTCCCGGCAATTCCACTCCTAGGCATATCCCCCAAAGAATTGAAAACAGGGACTCAAACAGATATATGTACATCAATGTTCGTTGTAGCATTATTCACAATACCCAAAAGGTGGAAACAATCCAAGTGCCATCAAAAGATGAATTTTCAAAATGTGGTATATACATACAATGGAATATTATTCAGCCATAAAAGGAATGAAATTCTGATACATGCTGCAACATGGAAGCTTGAAAATATTGTCTTAAGTGAAATAAGTCAGACACAAAAGCTCAGATATTGTATGATTCTGATTATACAAAATATTTAGAACAGACAAATTCATTTTAATAGAAAGTAGAAAAGCGGTTACCAAGTTAAGGAAAAGGGAAAATGGAGAGTTACTCCTTAATATTGAAGAGTTTCTATTTGGAAAAGTGAAAATATTCTAGTAAACTAGGATAGAAGTCAAGAAAACTTAATCCAAATTAGCAAATGATCTAGGAAAGGCAGGCAGAAAGAAAAACAAAATAAAACAAGCAAGAAACCTTAGGAGAATTCAGGCTGTGTCAGTATTAGCCCAGACCTTATAAGAGGTTTTAATATTATTCCCCAGCCCCAGTATACCTCATTAGGCAGTTTACTCAATTGAGGCTTAAGTGAGTTAATTACAGGGCAGCACCTCTGAAGAATGTGGTGTTTACTTTTTCTCTATCCCACTCCTGCCACATTTCTCCCTGCTTCACCTTAAGAAATTGGACCTGTGGCATGATTGCAGTGGGACCTAAAGCGTGCCTGAACCCACTCTCAGAAGCCGTTACCCCTCTGCGCAGCCCACATCTTCTCAGGGGCCGACAGAAACTTTCCCTAAGGACATCTGCAGCCATGAAGGAAAACAGCCCTGCTGGACCGGCACTGTGCTAAAAAAGCACAGCCAAATGGAAAAGCAAAGGCTCGGGTACTAAAAATAGCTGCTACACTCACCCAGCAGCAAAAGCCTTAGCTTTCTGCCAGTTCCCCCCCTCTTTTTTTGCCAACAAAATGGAACGGCTGAGTGCCATGAGAGCTTCCCCCAGCAACCTGGCTCCCTGGGGCACCAATCACACTGAAAGGCAGGGATTAAGTTCACAGCACCACACTAGGTTCTGGATAGGTGACTGGTCATCCCTGGGTGTGAGCAGAAGAGGGGCCAGGCTGGGTGAGGATGAGCAAGGGGTCACCACATCAGGAGGGAGAAGGCTAGGGAGGCCTAGGGAGACAGTTCCTAAGAAGGCACAACCCTAGAGCTGCCTGTACTGCTCTATACTTTTGTTAACACTGCAGCCTTGGCTGTGGGGAAAAAAAAAAAAGAATAAAGAATAGAAGCAGGGGACTCACAGTATTATCAAGACAATGTACAATAAAACAAAGATTAACCCAAAGCCACAGATGTCCCTCCCCTTCCATGAGATACTCGTGTATACACACACACACACACACACACACACACACACACACACACACACACAGTTATGAGCTCCCTTCTTACAGCCGGGGATCAACAACGAAACTGGTGCTGGGTTAAAAGAAGAGGAGGAAGAGCTAAATGAGAAGGAAATAGTCAAGGGCAAAGAAGACAAATCAGCAGAAGGAGGAGGCCCAGAAGGGACTGAGGAAGAAGAGGTCAGGGGCAGCTGATGCACACACAGCAGCTTCCCCCACTCCTTGGAGCGGGAAGAGGAGTGGAGGGTGAGAGAAATGGCAGCTCCCACAGGGCTCCCAGCCGTCTCCATCTCCTGCACACACGCTAACACTGTCAGAAACATTTTCTGCCAATACTAAGGATGAGAGATGGACTCACAAGTGGATCCTTCATCTTCCCTCAATAATTCCACATGGACTGCACGCCTGACCCAGTTATTGCCTCTAAATATTTTTCCACAAAACAGGGAGAGAGAATGAGAGAGAGAAAGAGAGGGCAAGAACATGGAGCTGAGTTGGGCAGTGGGAGAGGGATGGGGGGATTGAGAGGACTGAGGAGAGACCTAGGTGAGGCTGGGAGAAAGGTGTGAGATAGTTCCTCAGACTTCACAGGAGCATTCAGAGAGCAAGAGCAAGTACCAACTCTGCAGCAAGCAGGCATGGAAAACAGTGTTCTCCGTCCTTTTAAGGCCTGGCCTGCAGCCACGTCACCTGGTCTTGGTCCTTACTCAAGAAGTGGCAGGCATAGTCTGCCCTGGGCTTTATGCTAAAGCTGAGGGAGAAGGGAAAAGGGTAAAGGG